TTGCTCCCCCCTCCCCTGGGGTTGTTCAAGAGTAGGTTAGATACGCATCTAGCTGGGGTCATCTAGACCCAGCCCTCTTCCCTGCCTATGCAGGGGGTCGGACTCGATGATCTATTGAGGTCGCTTCCGGCCCTAACATCTATGAATCTATGAATCTTAGACCCATCTCTTTGGTCATTTCTCGCAGCCATCTTGGATGGGTCTCTTGAAGATGCCCTGTTCCCCCCACCCAGCTCCATTAGAGGAATGAAAAGTAGGCCCAAGATATTTGCATAAATATTAATTTATTCGCCTCTCTGGCTCCACCCCCTCCACACACACCCTCTCCCCAGATACCTGGGTAACTGGGAGCCTGCTGCTCACACCCAGTGCCCTGCGTCCCCCTCCCACTCCCTCTATCTGCCCCTGGCTGCCCCCAAGAGCTGCCCCGCTGCCCCCTAGGTGCCCCTTCAACCCTCCTAATTGCTCTCTGCTGCCCCCTATGTGCCCCAAAGACCCTCCAGTCTGTCCCCTGCTGCCCCCCAGAACTGCCCCACTGCCCCATATCTGCCCATTACACCCTCCCAAATGCCCCTTACATCCTTCTATTTGCTCCCCGCTGCACCCCAGAACTGCCCTGTGGCCTCCTATGTACCCCTCACACCCTCCTGTCTGCCCACTACCACCACCCAAAGCATCCCCATGACCCCCTATGTACCCATCACACCCTATCTGCCCCCTGCCACCCCCCAGAACTGCCCTGTGGCCTCCTAAATACCCCTTGCAGCCTCCCAAATGCCCCTCACAGCTTCCTTTCTGCCCCCCACCACAACCCAGAACTGCCCCATGGCACCCTAAATACTCCTTACACCCTCCCAAATGCCCCTCACAGTTGCATATATGCCCCGCACCAGCCCCAAAAACATTCCCATGGCCCCCTACGTAGTCCTCACATCCTATCTGCCCCCTGCCCCCATCCAAAACTGCCCCGTGACCTCCTAAATGTCCCTCACATCCTCCCAAATGCCCCTCACAGTCACCCATCTGCCCCCCACTGCCCACCATAAGTGCCCCGCAGCCCCCTTCCGCATCCTCTCTGGCCTCGTTGCCCCCCGGCTGCCCCCTGGTGACCCCCTCATCTGCCCCCCTGTCCCGGCAGCAGGGGGCAGGCACGCGGAGCAGGCCATAGGTAAGGCAGGCAGTCATGTTGACGCAGGCAGTGACCACGAGGGGACTCAGCGCTAAGAGCTTGTCGGGACGGCCAGCGAGGGCACAGGCCAGCACTGGGGGGCAGTTGGGGGCACCGGGGTAGCAGGTGAACAGCCCTGGCCCCCCCAGGGGGGGCAACTGGAGGGCCACCAGGGCCCACACGAAGGCCACCTCAGCCCCCAGGACCAAGCCCACAATGAGTCCAAAGGCAGCAGGCCGCCAGCACTGCATCCCCACCAGGCCCGAGCCCAGCGTTGGCCCGGTGCCTGGAGGCGGGGTCAGGGCGGTGGCCATGTTGTCAGGCTGACACGGAGCAGGCGCGGGGGCAGCTATGTTGAGGGCGGCTGGGGGGGGGTGACCAGCCATGTTGTGGTAGACAAGCGGGTGGCCAGCAGCCATGCGGAGTAAGGCTCGGTGGGGGCTGGTGTCCACGGCAGGCAGGGCCCGGTGGGCACCAGCAACCATGATGTGTGGGGCATGGCCTGCCAAGTATGGGTGGGTGGCCATATTGTGGTGGGGAGCCATGTTGGAAGGGCCATTGGCCATGTACAGCATGGCAGTGGAGGGGTTGGTGGCCATGTGGGGTAGGCCCCTGAGAGGGTTGATGGCCATGTTGGGCGTGGCAACAGATGCATTGGTGGCCATGTTGGGTACCACCCTGTGGGGATTGGCGGTCATGTTGGGTGCCTGCCAGGAAGTACTGGCAGCCATGCTGAGTGAGACAGAGGACCCGGTGGCCATATTGTGAGGAGCCCGGTGGGAACTGGCAGCAAGCTCAGAGGTGCCCCAAGGGGCCTTAGTGGCCATTTTGGGGCCATTGAGGCCAGCAGCCATGTTGGCTGGAGGAAGGAGCGGGTCATCATTGGCCAAGGAGCTCTCGGCCAGTTCAAGAAGCAGGGCGTTGGCCTCCCCAGAAGGCCAGACGGCCATCTTGGCATCAGGTGTGGCGGCCATGTCATCCATCTCCAACGCCACAGGGTTGGTCATCTTGGTCTCCACCACCCTGTCTGCCATCTTGCCCATGCCCTTCAGTTCATGCTCCACCTCCCTCTCTTTGGCTCCATGGGTGCCAGCGGCCATCTTGGATCCCCCCAATAGCTCATATCGGGCATCATTCCCCTTATACACCCATGTCCCATTGTCCATCACCCCCACTCCGCCGGTGGTCATCTTGGACCGGCGCCTTAGCAAGGGCTCAGCAGTTGCTGTGGTGGCTGTGGTGGCCGTACTGGTGGCATTGCCCTCTTCCTTGTTCTGGGGCGGGATGCCCCAGGTCTTCACCAGCTGCATGAAGCCGATGGTGAAGAGGGAGGCGATGAAGGCCAAGGCCCAGATGCTGGTGAGGGGCACAGGGAAGCGCTGGCTGTAGCACAGGGCAGTGCAGAAGACCTGGGTCCCGGTCGGCTCCGTCGTCCAATTACACACCAGGTCAGTCTGGACGCTGTCCCAGGGCCCATGGGCGAAGAAGAGGGTGACAAGACGAAGGCCGACCAGGAAGTACCAGGGGGCCAGGCCTGAGCAGGCCCCGTCCCCCGAGAGGGCGCCCATGACAGGCAGGAAGAGCCGCGTGATGCCATTGAGGACGGCCGCCATCTACCAGAGGAAGGGGGGAACGAGGAAAAGGAGAAGTGAGGACCTGGCCTTGCCATCCGCCTGCCCTGTTTCTCCACCTCTCCCCCACACACGTCCTTTCTTTCATTGCCTCGTTCAGCCTCGCTCTTTCCTTCCTCCTTTTCTCCCTGCTCCTTTCTACCCCGTCTGCTTGGCTCTCTTCTTTCATTTGCCCGTTTGTCAACCCATTGGTTCATTCGCTCATACATCTATTCAGTCCTCCACTCATTTGTGCATTCATTCGTCTGTGTTCATCTGTTCAATCCTTTTATTGATGTGTTCGCTCCTTCACTCATTCATTTCTTTGTTTGTCCATTTGTCAGTTCACTCGTTCAGTCATTTGTTCACTCATTTGCTTCTCTGTTCTCTCATTCATCCCGTCATTCAGCCATTCATTTGGCCCTGAATTCAGTTATTCATACACTTGTTCTTTCTCTCATTTATTTGTTCATTCATTCGTTCGTTCGCTCATTTGTGTGGTCATTTCATTTGTTCGTTCAGCTGTTCATTCGTTCATTCATTTTATTTATTCATTTGCTCCCTCGTTCATGCATTTCTCTCTTCATTTGTTCATTCATTTCTCAAATAATTTGTTCCTTCATTTATTTATTCGTTCACTCGGTTTGCTCCTTTGTCCATTTAGTCATCCGTTCACCTGTTCATTCGTTTGCTTGTTCGTTCTCTCATTCATTTTCTCATTCATCTCTCCACTCGTCTGTTCGCTCATTCATTTATTCACTCAGTTGTTGATTCTTTTGCTCCTTTATTCAGCCATTCATCTCATTTATCCGTTCACCTGTTCATTCAGTCCTGCATTTATTCATATGCTCCTTTGTTTCCTCATTCATCTCTTCATTTGTCCAGTCACCTGTTCATTCGTTCACTCGCTCATTTATTCATTCACTCGTTTGTACATTACCTCGTCTGTTCGTTCTTTTAGTCATTCCTCTCTTCATTTATTTGTCCGTCTAGTCATTTGCTCGTTCACTCACTGCTCCGTTCATTTATTCTCTTCCCGTCACATCTCCTCTTTCCCCTCTTCTTTCTTCTCTCTTCTTCCTCCCAGCCCTTCCACTTCTCCCTCTTCATTCATTTCTTCTGTTGTTCGTTCATTCGTCTGTTCGCTCGTTCTTGCGGTTTCCTTTCATCGCGGCACCTTGCTCTTTTCTCCATTCTTCCTTTATGCTCCTTCCTTCCTCCTCCTGCCCCTTCCACTCGTCCCTCATTCGCTTGTTCATTCACTCGTTCCTGCGTCTCTACACCTCTCTTTCCTTCGTTCTGCATGCTCCCCCTTTCTTCCCTGCCTCCCTTCCACTCCTCCCTCTCCAGCGTTCCTCTCTCCTCCTGCCATTCAGGTCCTCATTCCTGTCTTCATTCCTCCGCGCCACCTCCTGCTGTCGTCCCTGCGTCCCCTGCCTCCCTCTGCCTGCCTCCGCCTCCCTCTCAGCCCTTTGCTCCCTCCTTCACTTTCTTCCTCACTTCCCCTCCTTTCCTCAGCCACCCTTCGCCTTCCTTTCCTCCTGCTTTCTTCCCCCTTTCTTGCTGTCGCTCCAGTTTTCTTCCTCTTCTCACTTTTCCTTTCTTTTCAGTCTCTCTCTTTCTTTCTTTTCCTGTCTGTCTTTCTTTCTGTCTCTTTGCATTTCTTTTTCATTTTTTCTTCCTTCCTTCCTTCCACCTTTCTCTGTATTCTGCTTGCTCTTTATCACTGTCTTCCATTTCTTTCTTTTTTCATTCTTTCACTTTTCTCTTTTTCGTTCTTTCTTCTTGTTCCTTTTTCTATCTCGTCTTTCTGTCATCCTCTCTTCTTTCTCTCTCCCCACACTCCTCCTCTCCCCCCACCCCCACTCCTCCCCCTCCTGGCTACACACACCTGACACAGGGCAGGCAGCAGGCCCCAGGTGTTGCTCATTGCCCTGCCCCTCCAATCGCCCCCACCCCATCTACCCCCACCTCTCCGCAAGGGCGGGGCCCCGCCCACGGGGCCGGGAGGGACCCAGGCGTCCGGGAGGCCCCACCCTGCTGCGGGCAGCCCAGGCGTCCGGCCTGGGACAGTGCCCACCCCGGAGCCCTGGTGTCCGGGCTCGCACCCACCAGGCCCCCCTGCTCTCTCCGGGCACCCCCCAGGGGATGCAGGTGTCTGGGGACCCCCCAGGTGTCCTGGAACTCCCCCTGCCTGGGGAACGAAGGCATCCAGGGACTCCCCTCAGGTGTCTGGGGACCCCCCCCCCCAGGGGAGGGCGGCGCCCGAGG